TAATTAAAAAAAACACATACAAAATAAAGACACTTACAATACACTTACAAAAAACTCTATAAAACAGTTGACTTTTATCTCTGTAACTGTCAAATATCCATGCTTTGCCTGTTAAATTTTGAATTTTTTTGCTTTAAGAAGTTCATTAAGCATAGAAACGAGGACTGCTTTTCTTCATTACTATTTGTATCTGGAATCAATAGAATGAATTACCAAACACGCCTAAGTTTTTCCACTGTTGAACTAAAATTCTGCCATGTAAGAACTTTCCTATGGATTAGCCACATTGTTAATGCAGTCTCCAGCAGAGGCCAGAATCAGATATTCTGGATATAAATGATGCACTAATTAAACAGTCAGCAGTGTGTGTGTTTTCCTGACATCACCTTGGTGATAGCACATCTAAAACACTTCCAAGGGAATCTAATCCTGAGACGGCTAAAGGATTAGACGAACAATATCTAAAAAATAAAAGACTGAAACCAACAATAAGCAGGKGCAAAACCCAAGCAAAGCATCCTCAGGGATGACGCTCCCTCAGCCCCACTCTTGCCCTTCACCTTTGGCTATGTTATTAGAGCTGTGTGTACATTTCTCATTGAGTATCTGAATTTCACACAGAATTATAATGAATTTAAATAGAGTTTTATTTTTTAATTCACACTCATTTTGTCCTCTTATTAGTTTTTTTTTTATTTAATAACAAAGCAAAATTAAGGCCCCTTATGCATGAATAAAAAATGTTATTAAACTCAGTCTTTCTGATGCTTAGGCTATGTGATGAATGTTATTCTCAAGTTGCTATTTAAAATAATAGAACATCTGAGAGCTTTTGAAATTTATAGTAATTAAAGAAAAGAGGATACTCYGCAAAAACATCATGCCTTAATTCTGCAGTTTAAAATTCTCATCCRTATCTCTTGCCCAGAGAGCAACCTCAATTAGTAACTGAACTAGCAGTATTTCCAGGGATGGACTTGTTAACTGTTCATCTTATTGGGTCACATTACTTAGAGATGATAGTCCAATCTATGGGCCCACTTATCACTGCAGGCAGATGTAATCACACCGAGATTTCCTCCTCGTTCTGCTGTGTAAGAATTTATGCCTCAATACACACGGGAAGCAGTGGGCAATGTCATATGTAAATCTGGCTCTGAAAGACAGTCTTAACCCGAGGTCATCTCCCGTCTTTGGAAAGTTAGTGGCTACTTCTGAAAACAGCAACTCAACAAAGGGAAAACCAGACGAGAATAAAGCAAAGCRGAGCAGGAGGGCAAGGGCAAATGCAACCCCTGCATTTGGAGAAAGCTGGTGCAGAAGAGCAGCTCCSAAAGGACTCAGTGCCCTGGAGGAAACCTGCAATGATGTGGCATCCTCAGGACGTGCTGTGAAACGCTGTGGACACTGGTTTCTGCTCCACCACTGCACCCAACTGCCCCGCCAAAGCCCCCAGAATGGCAMAGTCGGAGAATGACTCGCGTGGGATTTCTAAGAACTCTTTTCTTTCTTCCCTTTTTTTGAAATCAGGCTTCCCTTCTCCTTTTCCTTTCCTTGTTTTTTCCTCCCCTTCGCAGTTGGCCCTGAAGTTCAAAGCGTTGCCAGGCACAGTTGACATCCTGTTATTGCTTGCACTGCTTTTTCAGAAGCGTCTCTCCCTGCGCTTATTTTTCTGCTACAAATTCCTTTTAGGCATCCTTGAAATAACGAAAACAGATCACTTATTTTCTTACTTCTGGAAAGCGTAGAATTTTAAATTCAAGCTGGGAATAGTAGGCTGCCTATTTTTTTAATTTCTCTTGCATCATCTTGGCTTCAATGCTATAAAAAAAGAAAGGCATGTGCCTTTGAAGTGATTTAAATCTCAGACAAAATGTTCAACTTTTACCCCAATCACTAGTATATCACCAAGGAAAAATGTACCTTTCTTTGCCAAATGTAGGTATTGCTAAAGCTCCATGAACAAAGGCTTACATGGATTTGTGAACCAGGATTTAAACAATCAGTGTTTTGTAAAACAGAATTCAGCCACATAAATCCAGAGAACTCCGGCTGTTATAATTCTTCTGCAGAAAATACGTGAGTATATATTGCCATACTGATGCTTATATTCTTTATAAAACATTGTAGGTTCAGGGGAAGCAGCACATACTTTAGGCATCGCTAATAGTGAGGGCTGCAGCCCAACTGAATACACTCGAAAGGGGAATAAGGTTTTATCTACTGAGCTCTTGCATGGGAGACTTTAGAGAAAACAGAAAAAGAGGATGATGACAGGATACACAGTGCTGGTTCAATGCTGAACCATTGCCACAGTTCCTGTGGGAAGATCAGAGAGGCACTGCTAAAATRCTACCTAAAATACTACATTTCAAAACGTTATCCGTCTTCCCCCAAAAGCTGCTGTCACCAGCCCCCCAGATGTACCTTTCCTGTGACGTTCCAGACCAAATTCTAAATGGAAAAATGATAATGCTTCCACCAAATTTCCCCTTACAATTACAACTTCCTATTAAAACGCGTGGAAATTTGATTTCTTTTCAGAAGGCTACAATTACAGCACGTAATTATGCGTCCTTCTAATTACTGCTTATAAATACACACCATGTAACACCGCTTATTGCCTCCTCTGTTAGTGTACTTACAGTAAACAGAAACCAATATGCTTCATTCAGTCCATGTATTTTGACACTTACATCAGATATACAAATTTATCTTCATTATAACCCCTTGCACTGTTACTGACATCCTTCTCAGAGCTATACCGAGCAGCACAGCAGGAAGGCTTGTATATACTGCGACTTGTATATACTGATTTACTACCAAAGTGAGGCATTTGAGAGGCAGTTACTATTTTGATAGCACTGAGTWGGCTACAAATTAGGAGCACTAAGTCAATGCTCTGCTCTCACTTCTCATTAATTATGGTGCACGATGAAGCTTAGAAGGTTAAGCCTATCTTTTTAAACCTATTTAAACCTATTGTGTTCAGTTACCTTATCACAGTTTTAAAGAAGTTCAAAGTTCTGACCATGGTTTTTAGCAACTATTCTAATTCTTTATAGAGCCCCTAATGAGACAAGTTTTGCACTTGTTAGAATTTATATATAAATCTACAGTGCGAAATGTAAGCGTCATGTCAAAGACTGGAGAGATGCTATGGGTACAATTTTCAAAACTGACTGAATGATTTAGGAGCCTGGTCTCTATTCCATCTTCARGGGTGCCCAGGGAAAGCCTGCACTGGGAAACCACTAACCTCCTGCCCTTGTTCATCAAGGTGATGAAGAGGCCATATGCAGCTGCAGTTGCTCCAACCTTCCCATCACAAGGTTCTGAACAAATCACTTAACAGGAAAATTTGCTCAGTAAGCACTGGACTTTATGGATATAGAACTGCTGTCAAATTCAGGTTGAAAAAAAGAGGCTTATTACAAATAATTAAAAAGTTGTCTGTGGGAAGGGTCTGTCAATGTCTTATGCATGTACTAGGCAAACGGGAGCACAGGCCTAGCACTAATCAGAGCTTTTCAAAGGGGGCCAAATTTACTCCTTTTCATACTAGGCAGACTGAACTGGAGGAAATGTATGAAATGAAGCTGGAAGGGAAATACTGTCCGTCTGGGAGACTGCGGTTGTCTCAGCAATTAAAGCCTCCCCAGGGGGTTAATTACACACATGGAGAACCCGGCATTCTACAAAACGTTGCGAGAGTGTCATAAAAATTGCACAGGTTTTGGAGAGCTTAGTTCTGAAACAGTAGCAGTTTATGTGGGTTGATACCAGGTAACTTGTCTTCTAAGGGGCGGCAATGGTTGACATTTCATTAGGAGCTGAAAAGATCTGTTTGTCTATCTAGTGAACTATCAGGAAAAAAATCAGCAGGTCAACTAATAAATTAACCCTTCTATACTACGTTCTGCTCTACGCCAAAATCATTTTGAATTTCTAGCAAATAAAAATAACCACGGGATATCTAAAAGTATATTCTGATGTATGTTTCAATCACAAATAATGATTTAACTAGAAACTATTTTTTTTTTCCTGTATGCAATATGTCCAAATATATCTTGCACAGATTTTAGGCACTTCCCTAAAATACACAGCAGATCTGACTSATTTCAATATGGTTCTCTTTTATTCCTTGCTTCACAAATTGACAATGGAACAGAATATAGGACCACCAACCCAAAGAAGAACATTTACMACAATGTAGAGCAATGTGAAAGAAAAATCATGTAGGAAAACCAATAGTATACAGGTACRGTACTCCATGAGTAATATTCATATAAGTGTATGTATGTGAGCCATTTATAAAGCAAAACATTCATGTAAAAATAGATTAGGTCCAGAAAAATGACTGAGATGCCCTTATTAGATGGCAACATTTTGATTGAAAACTGTTGTTAGTTGTCTCAATAAGTGAAACATTTGATTCTGATGATAATATAAAAAACAAAAAAATATTTTTTACAATACATCTGAGATTTGACTGATCGGAGTTTAACTTCAGGGATTGAAAACAGTTCCAGACACAACCTTCGGATTACTCAGAGTGCATAAAGCTCTGTCTTTATAGAAATGTTGGCATAGGAAGGGTCTCATAAATTAATAGAGATATTTAGGATGAGATGTCACCAACTGTGAAAAAAACCCCAACCAACCAATCGACCAAGAAAGTRCCCAAACTCTTTTCCCTCAAAATACTCTAAACCTTTGTTACAAATAGGGAAAGAAGAGTAAGATTCAAGGGCTATGATAGGCTATGATATAAGATCAGAGGTGGAAAGCAAACGTTTTGAGTATTTCTTCTGTTGTTCAAGTGCTCATGAATTGCCACATACATTATTTCTTCATTATAATCCAGCAATTCCCATCTTTGTGTGAATCTTTCACATATCCAGAGAAGGGAGAATTCCACTTTCTTGGAAGAGGAAGAAATGATTTTAAAATCCAAAAATAAGTTAACCTTTTAACACATATTCTCCACTTAATCTTACCTCCAGAAAATGCTCTGCTTGCTGTTCCCGATCCAATTTTCTTGATGTTGTTGTAATCAGACCTGTGGAAAAAGGGTAATATTTGATTGTCAATATCTGCTGAAAAATATATGTTCCTATTGACCATAAGAAACAAGTTCATTTTTTGAATGCTCAAAGGGAAAAAATCTATTTGAAGCTGTATCAGGCACAGATTTCTTGACATCTGTCAGGAAATTTCTTTCACAGCACAGCCATTACGAGAATTTCTGACTAACAATGAATCTTTAAAGAAAAATRCCATGAAAAAACTAACTGAAAAATAGTTAGCTGCATATCTACAGTTAACATGCTACATTTATTACAGTGAATAATAAAAAACCTTACTAAAGAATCACTATTTGTCTTATGATTAAGTGCTTCAGTGAATCATTTGCATTTGACTGAAATCCTTCCGTAAAAACCTCATTAAAGATTTCAGAGTTCTCAAACAATTAATGGGAAAGGATGCTGATTACTTCTACGCTAAGAATACTTGACAAAGAAGGCTATTTCTGTAATAACTACTTGTATACATAATGATTTCCAAATGTAATCATTCTAATGCATTAAAGGTTTTGTACTACAATTTCATCAATTTGTTGCATGTTCAAAATGATTCTTTAGAATAAAGTATCCTTCCACATGAGGATGATCAAGATTTTTTTTTCTTAAGCAATACACTTTCAGAAATCATTAACCTCTTGTGAGATTTATACCAAGGAAAGAAATTGAAATGCTTCCAAATTTCTCTAAAGAAAAGCTACGCATATTCTTCTATAAATATAGTTACTGTGTTTTTCTCGGTAGAGGTTTAAAGGTGGGATTTGAATTGTGTCTTATACNTTTTTTTTTTTTTTTGGACAGGAAAATGCATTCTGTGATTTTTTCTTTTTCTTTCTTTCTTTTTTTTTTTTTGGTGACAGATTTTGGTGAACGTAAACACAGCAGCTCTTCCTGGGAGTATATATTATACATATCTTTGGGAAGACAGCGTCAGTGTACAGTTATTCTCAAGAATTCCTCCTTTGTACAAGTACTGAGGAAGACAGGACAGGTAATACTCCCTGGATTATCTATATGACTTACTTAAGCAGACCAGCCAATCATCTAAACCTAAATCCGTGATGAACCTAATATCAGTAGTAACTGCACCTTACATCTACATAATAGTCCCTGTAGTCCCATATGGCTTCTCCATCTACAGTGCTTTACACACTGCTGCCATGTATTCAGAGGAATGACCCTCAACACTTTTCTTGAGACATATATTAGATATATTAGATATATTAGATATATTAGATATATTAGACCATGGAATAAGATATATTAGACCATGGAAATGATGTTAGGGGAGGCTGGAGAACCCTAACTGGACCATGAGAAAATCTTAGTGCTATTCCAGTACCAGAAAATCAGTTGCTGGCAAAAGGCTAAGAAATAAAAACACTTGGTATTTCCCATATTGAGCAATTATAATTAGTCAAAATAGTGACAACATATGGGATGGTTATACCCATTACATTTGTTTAAACAGATAGGATAGCAAGGATGAAGAGCTTGTGTCATTCACACTAGATCCCCATGTGTGAAGAAAGTGAGGAGATACAGGGAAGTTCCTAATTATGAGAGCAGTCTGGCCCCAATAAGGTGATAAGTGAGTATCAAGAAGATATTTCATGGTTTTTAACAGCCCCATTTGTTACTTGCCTAATCACTGTGTATATTTGTCAAGCGTGGTCTCATCACCAGAAGGAATAGGATCATTTTTCCAAAATCTTCCACTATCTTCCTCCTTGATACACTACTATAAACTAAATTAACATTTTTCTTAAACCAGGAATGTTTGGAGTACTTATCATTTTGATAAAAGTTACTCAGACCTCACTGAAATACTCGTGAATGTCCAAACACTGTAACCATGCAGGGAGGCTTTCACATTTCTTTTGAAGACAAAGAGGTAATATTTGAAACTGAATTTTATGAACTGACAGTACTTATTTTCACACTGGTAAACAAAAATTWTCTCAGAAGAACTACTGTTAACACCCTTTATTTTTTTTTCTCCCTCCTCCTTTTTTTTTTAAGTCCAGAGCCTTTTTAACAGCAGATCTGAGCCCCTACAGAACTGAATCCCCTGCTAAGTGTGTACAATCATACAGCAAGTCTCTATGACACAATTGTATATATTTCAAATTTAATGGATCTCAACAGTCAGTCCCGAAGGCAGGTAACTAGCGYAATCAAACATAACCATCGGAACCCAACTACAACCCCCTTAATGACAGTCAAAGCCGATAAACACAGCTCTGCAATACGGGCTATCAGACCCGATCCTGAGGGACGGCGCCTGCACAACTGTTTGTTTTTCCTGTAGTCTTAAACGTATTTTAAAGACAGTTTTACTTATACTACCAGCTGGGTGCAGCTTCTATATGAGGAACAAGTAATACTTTATATAAGTAGTTTGTCATTTGTGGGTACAGCCCCGGGGCCTCTGGTTTCTGCCCCCATACACTGCAGGACTCTCCTGTCCAAAGCTCTGGGCTCCATCACATAAGTTCACTTTCATATGCTACTGAGGTCATTCATATACACTCTATACAACAACATTTAAAAACACACATGGATACAATAATTTCTCAACTATTTGATAATAATATCTATCTAATTATGGCAATGCGTTGGTATGGTTTGGAACCTGGTCTTTTCAGATTATAAAACTGCATTTCAAGGAATTCTGCTTACGACAAATCATCCAAACTGAAAACAGAAATAATGTTACCAGTAATGTCTAGGACTCCGCATTACTTTCCCAGAGCAGCCTCAAAGAAATTAGCCAAATTTCATGGGTTTTATGAGAATTGTGCTGTGTGCCACCTGCATTCAATACTCCATCTCATAAAAGCATAACAGCAGTAATATTTTGCAGGATATAGGACGTTATATTACAGATCTAGGCACAAGAAGAAACTTGGCCTTGCTCAAGAGAATATACCTCAACTTTGGTTCTTCTCCAACTGCATTAAATCTTCATATTGTGTTGTTATCTAAAGACATTATCTAAAGAAAATAACTCCAAGAGGAAAATAAGCCCAAGGAAATGATGTTTAAGACAGATTTAGGCTACACTGAAGGTTATGATATGAAATCACAGGGAGTCAAAGACAAAAAATGATCTTTTTCTTTCCTCATCTTCAATATGTGCGGTAGTTCCTCTAGACATGTTGTCAACAGCCACCTGGGGATACCAGGCATCCACGACCAGGCCTGGTATTGAAGGCCTGGTATCACTGAATAGTCAAAACCACTAAAAAGCCTCAGAAGTCATTCCGTGACTCTCAAATGGTTTCTCTCAGATTTCCAAGGAAGCATCATGATCTTGTTAAGGGCAAAAGATATTTATCACAGTAGTCATGAAGAATCATCATAACTTTGACCATTCTTTAAGTATGGCCATAAAAGTAAACAGGAGAACTGAAAYAACTGAAATAACTAGCAAAAGTAAACGTAGTAAAAGGAACAGCATGAGGTTTTGGACTGTTTGCCAGGCTAGGCAGAAACTCTCTAAAGCTCCTTCTGCCTTTGGTGGTTCCTGACATTGACATGTGGAAGAACTTTTCTTCCCATATAGTGGGGAGGAGGAAAGCTCCCTCAGCCCAGCTGCTGGAGGCTTTGCTGAAATCCGTAGCTCCAGGCAGCTTTYATGATACTGGATGCTCACAAGCAAGACTATGTGATTGTTTTCTTTGGCGTTATGACACAAAACACCCTCTCTCTTTGCGTCCCGGCAAATCCTTTCCTGAAGCTATGTAATCCAGCTGTCTTGAGAAACTCAAGAACATTGCTTGATCTAATTTTTCTGTTTGGAGTTGACCATATGTTCTTCAATAACTCACTTTTCTGCAAATTCTTTCGCTTTTGGTATTGAAATACTTCTCCCACCCTAAATAATTGAGCAGTTGCTGTTCTTGTGTTCCAGACTTGGGAAATTAGAGAACCTCTACAAGCTCACCCTGCATGACAGGTCTCATCTACCTATGAGACACTGTGACAAGAACTGCTGGYTGGCCCTGACTGGGAAATCTCCTTACAACACCTCACTGTCCACTGTGTGAGACCATCGCTCCCTCCCGCATCATTCTTCTCCAAAAGAAAATTTGGCATGTGGACACAGAAGGACCAGATCTTCCACCTGATCACTGTATTCTCCCGACCAGAGGACCTCCAATGAGGGCTGTGCTGCAGAACAGTCTTGCCTATATGCAGCCCCCGTGGAACAAGGGAAAGAACAGGACCAGGATTATGGAATCCTGACACCTTGAGCAGTACCAGCCTATATAATTTTTTTGGCCAATACATCATCTTGGAAAGAATTCACTAGTTGTTATTGAGACCAATCATCTGATGAAGACTCTCAACCAACACTGAGCACTAGTTCTTGTGCAYATGGTTTCAGCACTTCATAAATGCAAAGAGAGAAAATCAAATGAGTTGGGTGACAGGGACCAAAGCCCACACAAATTATTTCACATTTGCAATGGGTGAAACATGAAGCTGTTTGAGAGCAAATGAGGAAATCTAACTTGCTTCTTTGATCAATAATTGACTACAGGTCTGATTTCTTAGAATTACTGTCATATGTGTGTACATGTGGTTGCATGAACCACATATGCATATATGTATTTGTAATATTAAAGATGACTTAAGAGCTGGAATAGTTATGAATTCATTAGTAAGACTAATTCCTTACAAAAATTACAATTGTAGAAAATTATATTTTTATTAATAATAAAGTGAACAACCTTGAACAACTTTAAAAAAGGGAACATTTTGGTTATATTATTTTGTGTCATCTCAGGTAGGTTTTGCTCTTTGAAAGTAATATAATGCTCTCTCTAACCTGTGTCTTTTGTGAAATACTGTCTTTTGTCTAAACAGTAGTTCTGCTTGGGTGCTTAAACATATGGCTATACAACTGTCTATATCTGAGAAAAATACAAAGTACATATTAYCCTCTGATGATATGCAGGTAGTAGGCTCA